GTCCTATACAATTTTCTCGTAAGTCTAACAGTTTGGGAGTTATTGGCCAAAAACGAAAATTTGGAAGAAATTGAAGGGGTACCCCTTGGAAAAATCTCAGAAAAATCGGAAAATTTTTTTTGTTGTTTATTATTAGCAATATTCTTCCGACGTCTGATTTCTTTTTAAAAAATGCATTTCTAAAGTGCATAAACTTTTGGGATTGACTGTATAGCCAATACATCCTTAAGTCCGTTTCTGCCACGTGCAGATCAATTTTCCATGTACCAATGTCTTTAGCATTCTTCCGTCTCCATTAAGAATTAATTGTCGAGATAAAAGATGTATTACATCGTCCAAAGAGATCGAGAACATTAAAAGCAAGCTGGACATTGTTATTATAAATTGCTCTCTGAATTTTAATTTCAAGATCTTCCAATTACCCATTACGTTAATTCGTTTTAAAGATCTTGCACGGTGTGCACGCAATCAGCTGATTACTGAACGTAAATTCCTGTGCCGGTTACGAATTTAAATGCTTGTCATTATGAACGGTCTTTTCTCGGTCGCGAATATAAAAGCATTTTGATAAAAGGGAATCCATCTCGCTCGTTCGCGTTCTCTCTCGATCAAGATCGCAGACGGTCCGGCCGGAGTGTAGGATTTCGTCGTGAAATTCGTGAATGAGCCACCGGTGACTCGCGCATTTTGAATGGAAACCGACGGGCCGATTTTTACGAAAGCACCACTGGCACAGGATGCGGGTAAGGACGAAGGGGGGGTGTACCGCACATTTTTATCCTTTTTAATTCTTCTTTCTCGAGAGGAGATAAGAGGGGAACGAAGAGCGGAACACCGCAGCCAGCTGATCGCCGCTCGCTGCCGCCGCCGCCGCTGCCGGCGAAATAAAAGGTTTTGCAAAACGGCGAGCACGTGCTCGTGTGCGTGACCCTTTTTAGATTTGCATGCCTGCGAAGCCACCTGCGAAGCCAGATCGTGCAATTAATCCCCGAATTACTACGTTTCCTTCCTCCTTACGAGCCCCATTGTTCGCCTACCGAACTGGTTACGTTCTACAGATTATCATTCGACATGAACCGCGCTAACAATAAAAACCGTTTATGCACACGAGCGCACGAAACAACCGAAGAATCAGTGCACAACGAAAATGATTGTTGCAACGTGATAGGCCATATATTATTTCTTACTACTCGTCAGTACGTGAAGTTCATGATCAAGCGTTATCATTAATAATTCAAAACATGGTCGGTGGTCGCATTATTGCCTTTCATAAGCTCCGATAAAAACCGTGAATCTGATTTTAATGAAAATCAAGTGGGAAGAAGCTGTGTAGAAAAAAGAACAAATCGAAGGGGGCGAGAGGGTGAAACAGGCGGCTGCTCGCTGTCTCCGGAAGGAACTGTCTCCCTTTATACCCAAAGACATTCCTCCAAACATGAACCAACGTGCTTCATACGGTGGTCTCCCTCTCGTCGTTCCCCACCCTACGTTAACCTCTTGCACCCGAAACTAAATTAAGGACCCTTTCCTCCCTCGCTTCTCGATACACTCGTCAAGATTTTATACACTCATTCCGTTCAAAAAACTATTGGATCGTTGCAAAAATAATTGCATAGTTTCATTAGACAAAGACAGCAATTATTTTTGTACACAATCCTTTATCGAATTGCTTGTGCCTGAATTCTACGCTTTCGATCTGTAACAAGTGAATAATTTGCATAGTACGGGTATTGAGTCAGGCACCGTAAATAGAAAATTGTCATCTAAGAGCTCGGTGTCATTGCACCCTAGGTCCTAGAGGACGTGCGGCTAGAAGAAGAGGAGGAGACAGACGAAACTTGGAAATGTACACGTAGACGGCTGAAAATCTCGTCTGGCTCGCCGCCAAGATCTTTGAATCTTGTCATCTTTTTCATCCTCTACCATTCTCCAGCACGCACACCTCCCACGTGCCGCTGGAGGCAATCAATTAAATGCTTCTCATCTCTCTACGTGCTTTTTCTTAAAGTACACGTATGCGGAATAATAGAAAAGACGTGTAAGGAAATGTTATACATTTTCTAAGCAGAGAATGGAGCCTTTAAGATGAGTAAGAATTGTGATAGAAGTGATTCGATTTTTAAAATATGTATCAAATCCTGATAGTCGTATCAAAATGTTTGGTATAAAAAAGTAACTTCTGATCAATTCGTTGGAGCTAATGATTGTTCGAAGAATGCTTAGCCTTCTTTTAATACTGATCTAATTTCGGCGAGGTGCATCACTGTCCACGAATCCTCGAATCGTGAATCGAATAGGTTCTACCTTGTCCCACGAGTGACCGTGGAATAGAAGAGAGGTGGTTTACCCGAGGAACACGACAGCTGCATCGAGGCACCGGCCTGAAAATAGCACGGCAACCCCATGCCGAGGCCGAACAGCGAAGTCGAAGCCTCCTCCCTACGTCGGTATACGCGCCGCGGCTGAAAACCCACCCACCTACGAGCCTTTTAAATAGCGATCGCGTGCTCTCCTCCTTTTTTTTTTTCAACGAGAAAACTTCGCGCTAAATGACACGTCCGTGGAAAGGGGGAGTGTACCGGCGCTGATTTACAAGTAGAACCAGGCGTTTCCGGATAGTTTTCGGGGAGTCGTTTACTTTTTACCGGATTACCGCTTAATGACCCTCCTTTCCTTATCGGGACAAAAAAAGATCCCCTCGGCACGAGTCTATGCCAGTCATTAAGAATATTGTTCATCTTTCGACAGACTCTCTTCCGATTCTAACGTCTCGATAAAATTCAATCTTGAATCTTGTCCTAAACAGTCGTGTTTTCATTTACATTTTAATATCTGTTCGCTGAACCGAAAACGACTGAATCTTCCTGGTTAAATCTGAATACGTTCTTCGAATGATCTTTTAGAAATGTCACTGTTGCAACAAATACGAGCAACGTACGTTTATTTAACCAGTGAAAAATAGAAAACGCACGTGGTCTCGCGGTATCTCTCTCGGTTTGCGTCCTCCTCCTCCGCACCTGGAGCATCTCCAACCGCGCCGAAAATACGTTTTACGCGGCACGTACCATCGCATCGGAAACGGCGTTCGGGCACCTGTAGGATGCGCCCAGTTTATTAACGCGGAGCCACGAGGTAAACGTGTATATCGCGTATCTGATGACACGCCGAAGCCACGGGTGTACTGACAATCCGTCGCCGAGGAAATCTTGCCGAGCCTCGCTGTTGCGTCAGTCGAGATGTCTACTCTTCTTCTTCTCGTGACTTTATTCTTAGTCGCACACGTCGATACCGCGGCTATCGCAATAGGACTCCCGAGACACCTGTTCCTCGAATCGTTCCGAAAACAATCGAAACGCCGATGATCTCGCCGATTTGTTCCATTAGCGAACAGCACAAGATCTGACGACGTGGCTTAACTTGTTCCATTAAATCGGAGACTCTTTTAATAGTTCAAATCCAATTGTGTCTCTTCGTACTAGCTTTCAGATTTTCGTGTAACAAGTGTTTTTCAATTGCTCGTCCATCAATCTTTTTACAGTGTTAATCTACTTCGTGCGAAGCTATTATCTGTTTACAAAGATTTCGTAGGAAATCCTGATAAGTAACTAATAATTCGGAGCTACCGTTTCAATTGCGAAACAATTGATCCAAGTTTCGGAGAACAATTATCTCTGAACCGCCAATTGTTTCCTGACGTCGATCAATCCTTTCAACACCGACGATACTTGAAGCGAAGTCGTTATCCCCTGGCGAGGAGATTTACGGGCATTAAATGCACGGTTTGTACTCGTATTTCGCGACGAGGTATCAACGTGGGACCCGAATAAGAAAACAGCGGCGGCGGCCCTCACGGTTTCGTTGGTGGCTACAGGATAGAAGCAGGTTGGTGCGCTGGGTGGTTCTTCTGGATCGACGCCAGGCGTCCGCCGAATTTAGCACCGCGACGCTGACTAACTCGCGTGGCATTCATTCAATCGCCGACCAAAAAGCTTGCATAGCCTTTCGCTTACTGTTTGCGCCATCGCTTCTGTCCTCCACGTTTCCCCTTTTCTTCTTATACTCTTGAAAATAATCACCTCGCATTCTATCACGTCCTTGATCTTTTATTTGATAAGATATGCACAAGTGTCTCTGATATCATCCATTGAATTACACGCTCGATAACGTGTGACCAAAATAAACGTGATACTTTTAATAACACCTCGCTATTAATAAAGCGTTACAGGAAATCGGTTCTTATAAAAATACGTTCGTTGTTTTCAGCAGATTCTGTAAGAGAAATCATGAATCTTATTCCGCTTAATTCCCAGAGTAGGTGCGTACGATCGAACGTTGTGAAAATATACCCGACGAATTCGAAGAAATTTGATTCAGTCCGTGGCTCGTGCCCCTGCGGTTTTTTCCTGTTTTCCTGTCAAAAGCCGCCGCGTTCACCTCTCCCTCCTCTCGCGATTCGTTGGTAGTTAATGAACACGGGACGCGTGCCGTGGGTCCCACAAAATCTGTCTACCAACAGTGGCTTCGCACCGAAATAGAATGCTTATCCTTTCATTTGCCCACTGGTAAATAGTATCTGCTTTCTTTCGTTCACTTCTCCGCCGTCCCGAGCCTCGAACACCAGCCGCGAACAATTTCATATTTCCACGATTTATAAATAAACCGAATTTTGTCGATGCTAATTGAAACGGGGTTTAAATTCTGGCGCTGTCTCACGGCATGCTAATGCATTTATGACTTTACACCTGCCCGGAAGTTCCGCAATCTATCGGATATTTAACATATTCTTCTTTTAGGTCTCTTCAAGTATAAAACGAGTGTTCGGTGACCGCATACGTTCCACAGGTCGTCCCTACAGATAAACCAATAAGCTCGCGGACTATCCACACGTGTTCCGACTCACGACGAAGAAAAAATAAATCTCCTCGGCTGTTCTTACAACAATTGGACAAACTTTCTCAGTTTGAAAATTTTAACCATTATTGAAGACGCGATAGATGATATATATAATGTAAAGGGATGTTAATTAATTCAACTATAATGAGCTCGAGCGGGGCGCGCAATTTCATCGGTTGAAAAGCGTCACGGATGCATACGGTGGTCGCACACTCCGCCACCACTCAAACAGAAGCGGCACACAGGCTCAGCACCCTTCTGAGCGCGTGCAACGCGGTGCGCAGCAGCTGAAGAAGAAGAAGAAGAAGACGATGAGGCGGAGGGCGAGGGAGGCTGCGCTGCTATATGTAGCCCCGAATCTTAGCCGGAGCAAATATTACGCCCGAAATCCTCGAGGCGGTCGCACCCCTCCTGTTCGGCAACAGGTACCATATACGCGCGGCCCGACTCGTTCTATTTCGAACGATTCATTTACTCAAGTGACAAAGAGTGTGTGACAGTGGAGTTGGAAATTGATCTAATGGTTTCTGTGACTCGATGAGAATAGAGAAAAGAAGATGCCGAGAGCGTTTCTCATCACCCATCGACGATACAACGCGGTCGAGGAAGAGTTCGACGCTTCTGGAAGAGGTACATCTCCTCGTATTTCCTCGGTTTTCAGATTAGAATCAATTTATAATTCCATTAGAAATTGTACATCTAATACTTGAAATTGCATCTTATCACCTGAAGGATCATGTACGCGTTGATACACTTTCAATTTTCTATCAGATCTCCCTTATGCTTAATACGTTTCTACTCAATCACTTATTAAGTATGTAATAAAGTAATTCGGGAAATGTTGATCGACTTTTGCAAAATAATTCAGTTCGTAAGTGGCTAAATTTGATTTTGCTTAACGATGAAGTTTCGGTTACGCGGGAGTGAAGAGTTCAAGGGTTGAAGTTCCATTAATGGTAATGTCGAATCTACCGGAAATGGGTTGAGCAAAATTTCCGCGCTGCTTACGTTGATCTCGTCAATCAATGCTGCTGACCAAGAGCCAAGAGAATTTGCTGGTCGTTGCTTCGTGATTAAGGTGGTACATCGCGCGGGATATAAGAATAGGAGACGCTAGATGCGTCACAGAACGCATACCGTCGCGATGCCGTCAACCCTTCCAAAACTTCCGTGCAATGCGTGTATTTAAGTACGGAGAATAGATAAAGAAAGAAGTCAATCAGCGAGAAAGAGAGAGAGAGAGAGAGACGGCAGCTCTATTTCTGTTCTCCCCAAAAACGCAGCAGAAGGTGTTTCGCGAAGCCTCAAAGTTATCTTTTTGTCGTTTCGCGTTTTACGATTTAAATAGTTGAAGTTAAATTGGTAACGGAAACAAATCATGAGACGGCGAATGACTCCGCTCTTTGAAAACAAGCTTCTTCCGTTAGTTTACTCTTTGATACGTAGAAGAGCCACCTGTTTCGTCAAAGACGTGCTCGTAAATTTCTCTCCTTTAAAAATATTCGATATGATCGCTAAATACAGATATATGACTAATTATGAAACAGTTGAATGTGATCGAACCGTGATCGGTCAGTTCTTTCGATCACGAGATTTCAATTGGACTATCGCCAAAAGATACATTCAAATCGCAGAAACACTAACGATGATAAAAACCTGCTGTATTTCTAACGGTTTACGTTCCGGCGCTAAAATATCTGGTGTTCGATTATAAAAATCGTATTTTACAGATTTCAGCCCTGAACGAGGCGTGAGGCTGGCGGATTATAGTAGTAATCATCCGACGTCCGACGGTGCCAGCGAATGCGGAAGCGAGACGTCGTCGGAGTGTCCCGAGGAACTGTACAATCTCACAAAACTGGCGGAAGTGAGCTTAGCCGCGGCCGCCGGCACGCTGATTCACCCGAACGGTATGATCTATCAACAACCAGCCTCGCCTAGGTGCGCTCAATATTCGGACAAGTGCGTCAGGGTGAAACAGCAAGCGTATCAAAACTCGCGGACCATTGAAGACGAACAAACGTTGGACGAGAGGACGAGATTATTTTTTGAGAGAATAGAGAGTGAACGTGAAATTCTGCAAAACCGATCGGAGAGGAACGCGTTGTTGGGCGTGCACATTGCTCACCCTCACCGTTTGCAGGAGGAACGTCCAAGCGACGCTTCCGACAATTCGCTAGACAAAACTGAATTAGAATCAGGCTTGATATCTCAGAACCGGAGAACGACCTCAACGGAGACCAAGTCCGAGGATAGCGAGGATCACGAATGTCCCGACTGCGGGAAGAAATACTCGACGTCCTCGAATCTTGCGAGACACAGGCAAACGCACAGATCTCTTGGAGATAAAAAAGCCAGGAGGTGTCCGCATTGCGATAAAGTTTACGTCAGTATGCCGGCGTTTAGCATGCACGTGAGGACGCACAATCAGGGATGCAAATGCCATTATTGCGGCAAGTGCTTCTCCAGACCGTGGCTGCTGCAGGGACACATACGTACCCACACAGGTAAGAATTCACAGAAGAACATTATAGAAACCGAGAACTAAATTATATTTTTAACTTTAGGTGAAAAACCGTTCAAGTGTACGATCTGCAATAAAGCGTTTGCCGACAAGTCGAACCTGCGAGCACATATTCAAACACACTCGAATACCAAGCCGCACGTGTGTGGTCGTTGTGGTAAAGCGTTCGCATTGAAATCGTACCTCTATAAACACGAAGAATCCTCTTGCATGAGGACGCATCATCGATCGTCTACGGATAAAACTGATGGGAATGATCAAAAGAAATCCTGCGGATCGATGGCATCTTCGTTGAACAGATTGCCAGCAACCCCGTGTGTCACGGCGTCACCTACCAGCGTGATCGTTCCTCGTTTGGGTCTCAATCGCGAACAAAGGAATTCTTCCGCGTTTTCCGCGATTATCAGACACACCAGAGTTCCCGACACCGAGGTGTCTCCACCATCCAAACGCTCTTGCAGGGAGAAGAGCGAAGAAAACGAGACAAGTACATCCGAAGATTCTAAATGTATGCCCAGAATGGTCATCAGAACTTCGGTCATATCTCCGAATCCGGAGCATTTGAGTCGCTTCAACAACGACGGCCAAAACTCGTCGAGTAACTTCGACTTCTCCGATCCCGCTAGGTCTTCCGCATTTTCAAGACCGACGACGATGACACTTAACTTAGCGATCGCATAGAATTCTTAATATAGTTCCGCGGAACACCAAAGAGCACAGAAAAACTCGTTGAAATTTCCTAAAGGAATAATTGATTTAGAGATATAAAGACGTAATTAATAGCAACTAGTGTCATTCCTATGAATACTGAGATAATATTAAGTTCTATTGAAATTTCATCTGACACGAGTTCGACAATAGAGATCTAACAAGTGTTATTCCAAACACCTTCCTAATAGGGACCACAGATAGTCGTATTAAAAAATTGTCAATTACCAATTCCTAATGTCGTGCCTTATGAAATGCATACTGTGCCGTATGTAGTTAGAATTCTTTTAAAGACATATCATAATAAGAGAGCAAGGGTGATCAATTTAAAAACGCAATGCCTGAATAGGTATTCTGTATGCTTGCTTACCTTTAGTATTAAACGCGGTGACCAACTTCTTCCAAGGCTTCCAAGCTCTTCCAGGCAGCTACAAATTCCTTGAAACCAGCGCAGGTTAAACCGTAATTCGTCAACAAATTATGCACACGAATGTTCACGAACTTTTTGCACGTAGAAAATTACACTTCACACGGCCATTTTAAAGTTTTACACTACGCGCTTGATTGATGGGAAATCGGCGAATGACCGGCGGTAAAAAGTACTGAATAGTTGATAAGACTTAAATTGAATGAAACGTAATTTCGGACGTCACAGTTACTGCAAACGTACGATTAAGGAAATAATTTTATATATTTACTGTCGATGCGTTATTTGCGTTAATGAATAGGAACGCGTACCGTCTGTGATTCGAACTAATTGTAAACTAAATCGTAAAGAAACCTGACTGCCGTACGCGGTCTAGCAGTCCTCTGGTGGATGTATTAAGTAATTAATTAAGTATCTTTCTCCGTTTTCGATCCGTTACCGATAGCCGGTGACGATCCGAGTGTAAACTAGTCCAAAACTCTGCTATTCTAATGAGCAACCAGGCTTTTCGAACCACTTGCCATTCTTAATTGAACGTTTCTTATTGTTTAGCTGATACCTTGATTACTCTCGTGATTAGTAGATTAGAAACTGGCGAAACGAGGGTTGCACGAGAAATTGAATGGCAGCGGTTTTATAATAAAGATTTCACGTAGTTTTAATTTCGTTTCCCTTACACGAAGGATCACGTGTTTGTAAAAAGATAATGTAAGCACGCGTGTACTAGTCAGAGATTGAGCATAATCCCGAGATGTAATATTGCGTTTTATGTATAGTCGTGTAAACCTCACGTTGTAAATAGCATTCCCTTCAGTAATTTAGAGTACAGAAACGTTAGTCTTATAGTAATTAGCGCAGTTGTAACGTCTGCTATTGTGTATGTACGATTTGTACATTGGAGTGCCTAAACAGACATATTTTACCAATTTTTCTACGAGTTGTACAAGCGTTATTTCGAAATGAATAAAATATATAATAAAAATATATCTGCGAATGTCATTTTCACAAACCGTTTCCCTTAAAAAGTGTCGATTACTATTTCGACATACAGAATGACTTTCCCTTCACTCATCGATCTCATTTCTATTACCGATGAACTATGAGATAGTTTAATATCGCAACAAACAACGAGTTGCTGTATTTACCAAATGGATTGGAGTTAATAATTAGGGCAACGAAGGGGAACACATCAATCTCAGTCAGTGGATGATGATCGCACATAACGCGATATCGTATACGATTAGAAAGATATTTGCGTCTTGGAAACTATCGAAGCTACTTACACAAAACCGATCGTTCCTATTTGAATTCGTTTTGCATAGAAACGTGCACAATGACACTGATATTTCAAGACGACGGTAATAAATTAAAATGATTCAAGATTGTTCGTGTACGATGCGGTCGCAAAGACAGTGAACGAATAAAATTCATCCGTTCGTAAACGAGAGACGATCATCAACAAAACGTTCCTGTAACGAGATCCGTGGCGACACAAGATAACGTAACGCTTATAAAACTGCAGACACACTTACATCACGATTTACATGCCCGCGTTTCTTAGAAGTTTCCCCTATCACGTTCCCCCTTCCTTCGGTTTAATCCAAATTCTCTGTACTTCTTGATCTCTTCGCGAGATCGAGCACAAGCGAAGCTGATGAAGAAGAGAAAAATAGTTCGCGGTGGGAGTTAAACTGTTAGTACGATCACTGTCGACGAGAAGTTAACAGTCGCGACGAAGGTTCCGGACTGCCTTGAAGCCATGCGACTAATCCTTGTTTTCCTCCTCTTTTTGGCGGGAGCAGCTTTTTCGAGGATCTACGTAAGTTATCAATCTTACCCCGTTGCAATTGTATCTTTAGAATAAGCGTAGTATTGAGAACATTTATACAGAAAATAATCGTCTATCATCTTTTCTTTAAATATTTACGATTAATCATAATTTCATGATCGTATCAATGTTTGACTGCAAGTGTGTCATTCATTTAAATTCCATTTCTTCATTCTTATGAAATTAGTTCGGTAACATGAATTAAAAAGAGGAGTATTTGGTGAGACAGATTTGGAGATCAAAGTTCATAAGATAAGTCGATAGGAAATAGCTCGACCCATTTCTAATTTCTTTGTCCGTTTGTTTTTCCCTTGTATATCGTCTGCATCTCTTCGAATAGGATAAAAGACGTTTCGATCGTTCGCTTCGCTACGATTTCGAATCGCCAGACACAGACGATCATTTGAAAAGAAAGCAATGGACATTCACGGACTATGAAACGGTATAATGATTGTTCCTATCGAATCAATTAAAATTAGATTCCAATGTTGATTCTACGGTTCTCTCCTTAATTTAGCATTTCAGAGCATACAAAGATAGACAAGAAAACAGTTGTTATATAGAGAAACTGGAAGAGGGTGTTATCCCTGAAGAATTTTCGGAGAATGGGATCGAGGAAGAAGCATCAAAAATACTTTACGTACCGAACGAATTTTTGACGAAATTCGAGGTACGAAATAAATTGTACTTTCTTCAAATAAATACTGATAGCATCGTCTTTCTAGGCATGGCGAATAGCTGGAGGCAGAATTACTGATTTTTGCAATGGACGTAAAATTATCCTGTTGCAAAGGACTGTACCGATACTCGCAGAAACGATAGATCCCTTTTTTAATATACTACCTATCGATGAGAATGACATCGTGCCGAGGAGAGTAGCCGACGTTGTGTTAACGCCACTGATAAGCCGAGCAAAAAGAGAAATCGTACTTGAAGAGAGGCAAAAATTAAATGAAAACGCCAAGCGGAATCGCTTGCGTCGTCAAGTACAAGGGCCTCCTGGTAGATTTCGTGGACAGACACAATCGCAATATTTAAACATTGGCAATAATGATAAGAAGGAAGGGAAAGCCGAAGCTGAAGCTACTCAACAATCGTCTCGCGCGGTTGTCAGTGAGTATACGAGTCTCTCAAGATATTAAATACAAAATGAAACGATTTGATTTGATGTACAGGTGGAAGCAACGGAATGGGACAAGCGCAAAGTATGTCATTAGGAAGTATCGGATGCGAGGGTTGCCCAGAATACGATAGAGCAGGTCCACCAGGCAGATACATACAAGTTCCAGCCATTCCAGGTATCAATCGTCAATATTGTAAATCAAATACGAAGAAGTATAATGAATATTTTAATATTTAATAAATCTAGGAATCAAACAACCAGGAGAGGCTCCTCCCTCTAACATAATTACTGCTGGCGTGGGTCCGACTTACCCTGGCAGACTACCTGGTAGAATACCTGGTGGTGAAGTCCAGTATCCTGCCGGGAATGGACGCGTTTATCCTGGGAAAATACCTGGCGGTGCAACTTATCCTGGTAGTGCCCCTGGTGTTGCAACTGGCGATATTACGTATCCTGGAGGTACACCTGGTACTACTCTTGGAGGTCGTGTAATTTATCCAGGCACTGTTCCTGGGACCGTGCCTGGTGCTGTTCCCGGCAGTGTTCCTGGTGCTGTTCCGGGTACTGTTCCCGGTGCTGTTCCCGGTGCTGTTCCCGGCACTGTTCCTGGTGCTGTACCTGGTACTGTTCCTGGTGCTGTTCCGGGTACTGTTCCCGGTGCTGTTCCTGGGACCGTAACTCGTGTTATTCCCGGCACTATTCCTGGTGTTGTTCCTGGCACTGTACCTGGTGCTGTTCCTGGTACTGTTCCCGGCACTGTTCCTGGCACTGTACCTCGTGTTATTCCCGGCACTATTCCTGTTCCTGGTGCTGTTCCTGGCACTGTTCCTGGCACTGTTCCTGGCACTGTTCCTGGTGCTGTACCTGGTGCTATACCCGATGGACGCATAAGTTATCCTGGAAGTAAAACCGGTACTGTCATTGGTGGTGTGTATTATCCCGGGGGTGTACCCGGTAGTGGTGTAACCTATCCCGGAGGTGTTATTACACCAGGTGATACAACTTACCCTGGAAGTACACTAGGTATTACGGTTGGTGGTGGTGCTGTAGCTTATCCTGGCGGTGCACCAGGCACTGTACATTATCCCGGCAGAATACCTGGCACTACAGTTGACGGTGGAGTGGCTTATCCTGGTGCACCTTATCCTGGAGGTGCGCCTGGTACAATTTATCAAACGTATCCTGCTGTAGTACCGGGAACAGGGGATTCTCAAGCTGTGTCCCAAGCAGCTGCAGATGCGAAACTGTATCCTGGTGCACAGATTCCGACACCTCAATACGTGGGACCTTCCTATCCAGGTAGGGGCGGTGAAATAGGAGGACCAGGGACTTTAACTGGGATTACTACAGCAGATGGTAGAGGTGTTTATCAAGGAGGTTTGCCACCAACTGGACAAACTATTCATTATCCAGGGAAAGTGATACCAGGTGGAACAATGTTACCCGGAGGTGGTGTAACTTATCCTGGGGGTACTGTACCGAGCGGTACGGGATACGTACCAGGGGATGGAAGATATCCTACCGGACCGGTTGGTCCCGAAGGTACTGGGATTCAAATAGGACCGGGTAATCTTCAAAAACCTGGACCTGACCAAACAGGAGCCTCTTATCCTCCTTTAATAAGGTATCCCGAAGACGGTGTGATTCAAACGCCCGAAGGTGGGAAATATCCCGACAGGCAAACAGTGATTCCCGGTTACGAAGTACCAGGACAATATCCTGATACAACGTGGCATGATAGAGGTGTGCAGCAATATCCAACTGACGGACGAGGCATCGGACGATATCCAGGATTGCAATATATACCGGGTGCAGGAGAAGTTCCTCAGTATTATCAGAAACCTGGAACCCCTCTGCCCGCAGAAGACGACAACGCTAATTCTCAAGCATCCAGTTCTGTGAAACAAACGGATGCCGGTACTCAAGCGAGCGCGTCGGCCCAAGGGAAGTTTGGACAGGGCACAGCTCAATCTCAAGTAGCGGGCACTTACAGCGGTTCGGGATCGTTCTCGGCGCAAGCTGGTAGCACCGACAACGATAAAAGTGCGCAAACGGAAATTAACGGAGGTAAAGACGGTGCTACGAGCAATGCTCAAGGAGTGGGTGGTCGCGGGAAGAGTCAGGCGCAGGTTCAGTTGAATTCGGAATCAGGTGCCACCTCAACGGGCGCGCAAAGCAGCGGTTGGAATCATGGGACGAATTCTCAGGTGCAAGCAAGCGCGAAAGGTGGAATGGCGGATGCTCAAGCAAACGGCGAAGGGAGTACTTCCAGTCAAGCGCAAATTGGTTTTCAACCGTATCTCAAAACAGATGAGGAAGTTGAGAAATACGCCAGACCTTTCCGCGGCGGTGGCACGGCCTCTGCGCAAAGTGGAACTTACACGGGACAATCTCAATCGCAACTCGAAGGATCTTTCCAATATGGAATCAATTATTCCGGTGCTGCGCAGGCGGGATCAGGATCTGGTGCAGCAGCTTCTCGAAAGCCGTTTAATTTTAGTCTTACAGACACGGATCTCTTCAAATCGTTCAAGCCGTCTAACGCCCCTGAAGCGACGAATGCGTCGGAAACTACTCAACAAGGTTTGCAGACTAGTTCTACTTCTAGAAGAAAAATCGTTGCCAAGCCAGCGGATGAGAAGACAGAAGCGGATGACGATGTGTACGATTACGAAGAAGAGTACGAAGATGACTATGATAACGTACAGGATGAAAGTTCGATAAAACCCAAGGTGGCGAAAATTTATGTCGCGGAACAAAACGATAGCGACCATCAATCGCAAACGATACGTGTTGCCACTGGGGGCAATTACGATGTGCATATAAAACAAGACAGAAATGCGCAGGCTGGTGACATGCTTCAACCTGGACAATCGTTATCAGGATATACGATACCCGCTGGTTTTCGTGGGAGAGTAACGTCCGTAGCCGGTGACGAAACTGTCGCCCAAGGCAGTGGGAAATCTCAGTCTCAAACTGTTTCTTTGGTTCCCAAAAGGCCGAGTACGATCTATGAGAACAAGTCTCCCATCTCGGAAATCAGATCTCTCAAAACGAATCACGAAAGATTAGCCGAAGGTCGCGCCTCAGCTAAAGAGACACAGAAAAATAATTCTCAGCTTAAAATTCAACAAACTTCGAACGCATCAATCAAGCCAAGTTATTACACAGTGACGAACAGTGTTGCTGGGAAAATGGATGACAGAAATTCACCGAGAAAGTACGAGCATCGTTATTATACGAAAAGTTCGACTTGCGGATATTTTACATTCTCTTGTAACGTCGTCTATGGATCGAATGGTAGAACGAAAATTTGCAAACCGAGAATGCCGACTTATCCCGACGGTACACCGATGAAATGTTAAATGAAAAGTTAATTGTATTCTTTAGAAAAAACCTTTTATTCGTAGATTATGTATTTTACTAATACGAGACCTCTTTTACAAATTAGATTACTCTTTTTGTATATTTTTGTATTAATTACCAACTCATATATATATAATATATATTTATGATCATTCATAAATCTTATGAATGCGATCATATCTTTATTATTTGTTCACACACGCGTATCTATCATTTTTATTGAGGTACTTGTACTGAGTGTACATTATAAATTTAATGCTACATCAATTTTTAGTATTTATCCTCTTTTTATCAATAAAACATGTATTAAACAAATGAAGGATCCTAGTTTCTACTTGTCCTCGGTTACGAGTCACATCAATTAATAAATATATAGATTTGTAAATTCTTCTTAGTCAAATGTAAATTTAAATAGCCCTCCTACTTAACGTTAATGCATCCATTTCTACATAATATAGACATAAATACATTCACAACTTTACAAACATTTTGTGGTAGCACACAGAAGTTGTAATTATGTATAAATATCAGGTATCATAAATGGTAAAGGTAATCTCTCGTTATCTAACTTCACCAGTCTTTAGGTGAGGCAAAAATTTCGTATATACATTCTTTATGTACATACATACAATCTTCTAAAATTTTTAACGGACCAACTTCAAATTCCTGGTAATTATGTATGCGTTAATGACTAGCAACCGGAACAGCTTAGGCGAGCGCATCCCTACTTATTTGCCGTATTCGAAATTTGAGGAACATTCTCGTTTTAACTAATGTGATTTAATTCCTTATAAAGCAAATAATAAATAATTAAATTAAGAATAATAAATAAATTATAATACACGAATATTAATAACAATTACAAATAATTTTCGGTACCGCGATGATCAATTTCACGCGCGTCTATTACTAGGCATCTTCGAATAGTATTGCATTTTCCTCTAAGATTTTGTCTAGCAATTATGTAAATGTTAATGACTAACTATTTTAGAAAGTCAGTAACACGTGCATGATTACTAGGGACGTTGAAGTCAGTCCCTACAAAATCCTCGAGGCCGAGTGTATGTATATACAATACATTGGAATGCGAGTTTTTATAAATTAAAGGAAAAACTCTGACCGTGTAAAACATCGTACAAAATCATATATACATAATTATGTAAAAAAATTAATAAAAAATAGCAAATTATATATACAGTACAAACCTGAAAATGCAGTAATTTAAGAAACAACGGAATACTGAATTAGGCAGTAGTTTCTCATGATTCAAGTTCAGTTATTTAAATAAATTAATCTTACGTATACATTCCCCTACTGGATTCCGCTATGTCAACTGGTGCGTGCACATCAAAAGATGTAAAGTAGATTGCTTTCTCTGATCCAAGTCTCAGGTTCCGTCAGTGCTCGAATCAATTTAAAAACTCTTATCAAGATGAGTGAATACTAGGCTTGCTGATGCTCAAATTCTGAAATAAATTACAGAAAATATTATATCGAATTCTGTTCTAAAATATGAAAGCTTACCATTTAATTTGTCATCGCTTGCTGTACATAACTTTTCTCCAACGTTTTCTCCCATTCCTGATTCTCCCGTGTAGGAATCGTTACTGTGGACAAATCGATTCTCAGTACATACTTCAGTTTATATAAGCGGTGCGTCACTGTTACTTACCTATTTCGAAAATGTTCTAATTGCACATTAGCTGATTCTAACTGTTCTAAGAGATCTTCGTTCGCCCGTTGCAATTTACGAACGCTGTTAGTCGCAGCGTCTACTTCGTCTTGAGCCGCGGACAGTTCTTTCTTCAATTCTTCTACTCTTGTCCTTACTCTTTTCACTTCCGCCTCGTATTGCTCCGATCTTCTCATTGCGTGCGAGAGCTCTGTCGTTTTCTCTTCCAAAGACTTCTTCAATATTGTCTAAACAATCGTTTAATTAAACATAAGACAGCTCGAGAATTCTCTAAACGCTGTTAATTAATACCAACCACGTTTCTGGCTAAAAATTCCTGTTGGAATTGTTTGTTGTCACTATCCGATGTAGAAACGGGACGCAGTCGTCGAGCTTCTATCCTCTCTTGTAAATCGTTCAATTCGTTGCGGAGTTGTTTGTTCTCTCGTTCCAAAGAAATCTTTTCCGACTCCAAACGTTCTCTCTTTCCCCATTCGGCAGCATTTTCTGCTTGAAGTCTCTCTAACTGAAAATGATATGATTTTAAATAATTAAGGCCTTAGGATAAATATGTTTTCGTGTTAATAAAATTTACTTCAGTTCGAAGCTCGCACAGACGCCTATTCATTCCTTCTCTACTGGAAGCTTCATCCATTATACCAGCTTGCACATCGGTAAGTTCAACTTGAAATCGATCTTTCAACTCGAGCAATTCTCTCGTAGTCTCAGATTTATTCTCTTCCAGTTCCTGGCACTGTTTTCTCAGCTGAATTATTTCTGCCTTCAATCTTTCCATACCGCGATGCAAAGAATTCTTTTCTCTAACAAAGATACGAATAATTAATTTCGTAAATGAAATCGTAACGTCCTAATAAATTATTATTCTTACTCTCTTTCTGTAGAAATTGTTTTCGTAGCCTCATCCAGTTTCTGTTGAAGGAATAATATTTTCTGCGTGTAAGATTCATCGGTAGACACTTGCAAGGAAGACTGAGACTTTTCTATGCCATCTTCCATAGAGCTGATCTCGGCAGTCAATCTCGACGTATCCTTATCTAATAAATGAATAGAACTCTCTTTGTACAACTCTACGGCATGCTTTGGCACTGCACCTTGTAACACATACTCCTCGATATCTCTATCTGGCAATATATTATGGCTTCCTAAGCAAACATTAGATTCTTCATGCAGAGTCTTACAATTTATACTCTCGGTTTGCTTCACGTTGTTATAAGATTTCAACAGTGCGTCTATACCTAACGTGTTTCTCAACTGTGGATCTGACTCTAAAACTGGGAACATCTGCAGGTCAAGCTGTCCAGCATGTTTCAACAATACCATATGTATCTTTTCCATTTCTTTCTTTAATTGCTCATTCTGTAACTCCAGCTCCTGGCAATCATGCTTGTAACTGTTTGCATCCTTAACAGCGATTTCTAGCTTTGCTCTGAGCATTTTAGCCTCCTCCCTTGCCATGTTCCTCTCGTTACGTACTTTGCTCCACTTCTCGCGCCAATTAGCGGTGCAATCTGACCACCACCTCATCGTCTTTTCCATTTGAGCAGCTCGTGCTCGTGCCTCTTCAAGTTCTCTCTGCCGCAGAGCCTGGAAAGCATTATGATCGTAATAATTGATTGCCGATCATACGTTCAGAAACCGACTTAATACCATTTTAGCTCTTACCTCTTTGGTTTCCCATTCGCTGTCCACGTATCGCGACGAAGACGGCACGTTAACGTCGTGCTCCTTCATGTATCGTCGAGAAGACGTTCCACTAGCTGTTGATTGTGCCATGATAACCACAGCACTATCTCTTTTATAAATGAATATGCGTTGATAATGATTTGTTTCTCGTCGAATTAGATCGCGTTAGAAACGTAAGTGGAATCTCGAGTGTCTCGTTCACCGTTTCATTCGCATCATATTTAAAATAGTTGAAATCTAAGCACGATACCTTTCCAATTTTGATCTTTATACATCGCATAAGTAAGTAGTACATTCATTCTGAACTGACATTTGTACTATCTATATATAAATATACATACACATACAGATATATACTCACTGTACGTGTCTGTATAAAGTATAGTTAACGTGCATGTATATATTTCCACATACTTCGTGAAAACACACCGAATAAATGCAGAGGATATTATTTTTTTGGTTTGCATTTTTGTATACACTTGTTTAAATTTAGTACCAAAGGATTTATTGAAGGAAAATGAAGGAAAATAATACAGTTCAGTCATGGAAATGAGTAAATGCTAACGGAGTGTATATAGTAACCTGCATTACGAGTTCGTCAACGAGAGTTTGAAGAACATGAAAGTGATAATAAGAACGTTGTAATATAAAGTTGTATTTTTTATCCATATTCTATCAAACGAGACAATAATGAGCATTGTAAAAAATAATTGCGAGATCGGTAATGGACTGGACGATCTTGGGATACCCGGACAAAGTTTCTTAAGAGATGCTTTGACAAGTTGTACAGACCCATTGAAAGCAATCGAAGAGTTTCAATTAGAAAATGGTATTTTATTGCCATCGTTAAGGCCTATGCTACCTCTGCTCGATCTCCACGGAGTGAAGAGATTAGACTTCCACGCGTCGGTTCTCGAAGAATTAAGAGAGAAATTGATAAAGAGGATCAACGAGATCGGTGCAGAAAGAGCAGACAAAGGAGCAACAGGGGACAGGAGGTTGAAAGAATTATTGTCTAAAAGCTTCCCCGCTATAAGAGTTGCAGCACTGAGGCCAGTTGTTATGTGTATCCTGAGAAACACACCCCATATAGAAGATAAATATTTAAAAGTACTTGTTAAGGAAAAAGAGCTGTACAATGATGCAGACACTGAAGTCAAACGACAAATTTGGAAAGATAATCAAAGTCTGTTTGGAGATGAAGTTTCCCCACTATTTAGCAGATATATTATCGAGAAGGAACAAATATTGTTTGACCATAGGAATTTAAATAGTCTCTTTTTTATGCCTTCTCCGAAGGTATGCTACCATCAATTTAATTAATATAACAATAATTCGAAACTTTATTAAATTGTTTCTGTTTTATGTACTTAGGTGAGGAGACAAGGAGAGGTTGTACAGAAATTAGCTCATATGATTGGACATAGTGTAAAGTTATACGATATGGTATTGCAATTTTTGAGAACCTTATTTTTACGTACGAAGAATATTCATTATTGCACGTTAAGAGCAGAATTATTGATGGCCTTACATGATTTAGAAGTAAGCATATTAAACATAAAAAACCAGAGACTGGTATTACACTTTAACATTACTTGTTCAGGTACAAGATATCATTTCTGTTGACCCATGCCACAAATTCACTTGGTGCCTTGATGCTTGTATTAGAGAGAAAAGTGTCGATATTAAAAGGTCCCGTGAATTGCAAGGTTTCTTGGATAGTATCAAGGTACGACGATAGACTAAAAATAATATAATAATAAGAAAGTCATTGATGAAAGAATGATATGATCTATAGTTTTGTACAGAGAGGGCAGGAACAAGTATTGGGTGATCTAAGCATGATATTGTGCGATCCGTATGCTGTTAATTTTCTTGCCAGCAGCGCAATAAAAATTGCGCTTCATTTGATAAACGGCGAAGCACTGCCCAGGGAGAACGCAGTTCTCGTACTATTACTCAGGATGCTGGCATTAGGCTTGTCTGCTTGGCAGATGATCGATTCGCAGGATTTTAAAGAACCGAAACTGGATAGTCAAGTAGTGACGAAGTTTTTACCTGCACTTATGTCTTTAATGGTAAAGCATATTTTATAATGACTTAAATGAAGACACGTATGCGACCTAATTATCTCGTTTCTCAGGTAGACGATCAAATAAGGCAATTGAATTGCAAGCTTCCGCCCGATGAAAGGGAAAGTGCGATTGCTATAATAGAACATTCCGGTCCACCTCCGGACGCTTGCCAAGCGTATGCACAACTTTCGGGAGTCGCTGCAGTTTTATCTATGTATTATGCGTTGCATGTAGGAGGTGGTGGCGGAGGAGGAAGAGGAAGAGGCGACGCTCGAGGTTTAATGAGAGTACTGGCTACTTTACCAAACTGCCAAGCACAACGTGCGTTCGAGGATCCTTTTCTGCATACACTGGTAAGTTCGCCAATTATGATAATCATCCGCAAAGCAATAAATTCTATTTGCTTTCGCAGGTGTCCTTATTAATATTAAATATGGCTGATGAATTTTGTAACGAATCATTCTGTACCGTTATATTCGACGAGTTTTTCCTCGCCGGTCTAGGCAGGGATAATGTCACACGACATTTACTAAAATTACTTTGGTACATACATCCGAAATTGCCACCGACTCGGCTACACGCGCTAATGAAGGCACTTCAGCCAACTAGTCAGGTAATTTGAATAAAGAAAGAACGATAGAATTACTTTACTAGAACCAGAATGAGTAATCACTTTTTTTCATTTAAGCATAACGAAGCAGTGCATAATCTGTACGAGGCTTTACGTGATAAAATCGGAAATAGTTCGGTGGAGGATCAACTAGCAACCGCGGCTCAAATGGATACGTTGGGGCTTGACTGTCCACCTTCTCCTCTTACTGGAGTATCTACACCAACTTTGTAGATTCATTGTTAAAAAGAATAATAATGCAATATTTTGTATTTACATAT